CGGGCAGGGCGGGAAGATGGCGGCGGTAGCGGCGCGCGGCCCGGTGGGGAAGGGGCGCGACATCAGCCTGGCGGCCCTGCAGCGCCACGACCCCTATATCAACCGCATCGTAGACGTGGCCAGCCAGGTGGCTCTGTACACTTTCGGTCATCGGGCCAACGAGTGGGTGCGTGCGAACGCGACGGGCCGTGCAGGCAGGCGGGGTGGGGACGGGGTCGTCACACCCGGGCTCGAGCCCCTAGGGGAGGGGACGCGACGCCCTGGAGGATGGAGGTGGACGGTGGTGGCTCGCGGGCTCCAGGCCGAAGTTGGGGGGATTGCACTCGTGCGCCTCGGGGTCTGGGGGAGAGGGGGGCTGACCTGTGAAACCTTCTGAAACTGGGGCAAGACTTAAATACCTGCGCTACCCCCGTCTGGGAGACCGGACGGGCCGGGGCCGGGGCCCTGAGGCCGGACGGAAAGTAGAGGACGCGGTGCCTTGAGGCCGGAAGACTGATGCTCCGGGGACGCGGCGCGGAGCGCGAGCTGGTACCGGGGGCGGGGGGAGGCGGGCGCGAGCGCAGCGCCGCGGCTCTGAACTTCAGGCGCGGACGGGACCGGGACGGAGAGCAGCCGAACCTTGAGAGCGGGAGGAAGCCGGAGCTGCGAGCTCGGGGACGCCGCCGGGGAGGAACGGACGTCGGGGAGTAAAGACGAGGGGGCTGGGTCTGACTCCCGGGAAGATGATTACACCACAGCCACCACGGCCGAAACTGAGTTTAATGCCCGAGTGCATTGCGAGCCCGACTGTTTTAGGGCTCTTGTCACCCCAAACCCCAGTAAACAGCGATGGAATGAAGTTTAGTTCCCGCAGTTACAGTGGGGGAGGAGCGCGGGACGTGTGAGCCCTCCCGCAGGTTACAAGTGGACTTTGAATTTAAGAGAAATGGATTTTTTCCTCCGAGTGATTTTTGTCCACATAACATTAATCCGTCAATTATATTACCATCCATCCATTACTTCTAAATAAGTTACAAAACAATATGAAGTACTGAGCCTGGATGAATGGACTTCAGATTTGTAAAAATTGTGTTCTCCAAGAGGGTATCAAACATCAAAATTTAAGCAAGAAAACATCCATATTGAACAAATTCGTGTATTTTTAAACACCCACATTCATTTTTATATAGCCTACTTATTCACCTGAAAATCACTAACAAAAATAAAAAGATAAAAGTTAAGTCTTAAAATGAGCAAGAAGAGAACACTTTTGCCCTAAACTCTTAACTGAGGAGAATTACTGAAATGGACTTAGGGCTGCTCTCCAAGTAGCCAAGCAAAAAAGAAAAAGCATGGGGAGTTCTTTAATATTCATTGTTTTGTGATAGGAAGTATACCACTTGGTCATGAGAGGTTATTTCTCCCTAGTTTTCAGAGGAATTTGCCACCTGGATCTTTATATAAAGGACATCGAGCAACATAGTGGACAGTTTCGTCAATGGCAACTTAAAAAAATGCAAACATATTGTATACATGGCTTTTATACTGCTCTATAGAAAAATGCCAGAGGCATAATGTCATCATTCTGTCAAAGTAATTCTATAGTACAGGTCAGGATCAGGGATGTATCCTTCTACAAACTGATTTGACACCAAGATTAGAGTCTGGAAAATCCTGAGACATAGAGGAGAGCATTCCTCTTGAATAACAATTGTTTCCTAGAGGCTTTTGAGACAGATACCTGTTAAAATTGTTACAGAGGTTTCCTAGATACCCAGTGAAACCTTTATACTAAAGCCTCATGAAAAGGCAGAAGTGTCACAATGTATTATTTACAGGATTATGTTTTCCTGCTTCCTGGACTTGTTACCGGCATAATTCATTCAGTAAAAGGTCATTCTTTCAAAGTACTAATCTTCAAGGCTGTGTTAGCCTGAAAAAAAGAGACTCACTTTAGCTACAGAGCAGTTGCTAGGGGTAAACAAATTGTCCCCATTGTCTCTATGTGCCATCACTCAGGCCTGGATGGGAGCCTTTTGAATACAAACCTAATAGACATATAAAGAACATTCTTGAGAATGGAGGAGAAAGCATATAAAGAAGAAATGTGGTGTGTAAAGGAAGGGAGCTCTTACTACAATGAAAATAAGTGAATGTCCAGGCATTCAGAGCAGGAGGAATTAGGAAGGAATAGTGAACAGAAAATGAGCTGCTTTAAGGTAGAATTAAGAAAGATAGGTCATGACTAAAAGAAATTTTAGAACTAGACTTACTTCCCACTACCAGGCAAGACTACGCCCCCAAAATACCCTTGTGTGGAAGAATATAACCCTGGTGTTATGTGTTATTTCTTCCTCTTAGCCCTGAGAGCAGTAGTTGTTAAGGATTTGATTTGACAGTGTCTGGAGGAAAATTTTGGTTGTCTCACTGAGAGCAAAGTGTTACTGGCATCTAGAGGGTAGAGGCCAGGGATGCTGCTAAATATCCTACAAAAGTGCTGAGCTTGAGAAACTGCCTTAGTGACTAGTGCCCCATTTTTTCTAGCTAGTAAGGTTTTCTGAGTTCTGCATTATCACAGTTACTGGGTATGAGACCCAAGCATTTGATATTTGTTCAAATATAGGTGACTCGAATGCTACATACATGACTGAGAAAGACAGATTTAGAGGATAAATGGAGACCTATTTTTTCATTTTAACATAAATAATCAGTAAGGTATAGATTGAGTTGTTTCAAAGGTCTCAAATAGTGTGCTGAGTCCCAATAATTTGCAAACTAGCACTATTTTATATTCCACTGTGTTATTTCAAATTTTGAACTGCTTAATTTTTTAACACCTGTTAAATTATTTTTATAATAGAGCATGTTAAATCAATAGTTGTACTTGTTACTAAGTAATTTACTCTTAATAGCTATTTGCTCTTAAAAATCAGTTTGATATAATTTGGACCATAGTGGATTTTGTTTTCATGACTCCTAATACAGTTCTTTGGGCAGAGATTATGCTCTTGAACTAAAGCAGTGGTCCTCACATAGCATCATCAGAATCACCTGGGAAGCTTAATAAAAGAGACTGCTGGGCACCAGCCCCAGAGTTTCTGATTCAGTAGGTCTGGGGAAGGACCCAAGTATTTGCACTTCTAACAAATTCTCAGGTGATGTTGCTGCTGCTGCTGCTGCTGATATGGGGACCCACTGAACTGTGAGACTCACTAAATTTTGAGTCTCACTGAACTACAGTGACCAAGAAGATTGCTGAAATTACTTGAGCTTATGAAAGGATCATGTTTCCAATTTTTTTAGTCTGTCTTTAAAAAGTATTATTTTAATATTACACCTTTGTACTTAAAGACTGTGTTTTTCACCAGAATTACAGAGTACTTAAACTTTGAATGACTATGGTAATGGGTATTAATACTAAACTACTATGAGGTTAGATAGAATGCTGTAATTAAACCATGTAAATAGCAAACATACATTTTAAATTCTGAATTATAATAGTCTGATTACTGGTTAATCAAACAAATGGGTACTTAAATTTTTTTTTAATGCAGTGTACTGGTGAACATTTTTATCAGGCCATGGGATCCTGCCTTTGTTGAAATGGAAAAGAACCTTTCTGAATGAACTAAAATGACGTCATTTAACTTTACCACTTCTCCCAGTTTTTCTTAGGCATATTTCTTGAGTCCTAGCTTGGTAATGTTTCTAACGTAATTTCAAATATCAAACCTTACTCTGTTCCACACCCAGTAGGTGATTGAAAACTATGGCATTGTTGCCGTCTTCTATACAGTAGTCAAAGTAGAATTATTGACAGATTACCTGCTCTCCTAGGTGACAGAATATAGCAAGAGAAAATGAACCCAGAAAATAAAGAGAAGGGTAATGAGATGCAGTCAGCAATGATTTCTGCAGCTTGGCTTACACCCCGTTCAGAGGGCAGAGGAAAAGGCAATGAGCTTCTTATAATCTCTTCTTTCTAATGAGATCCGTGGAGCACCTTTATTATTGTTTCAGCCAGAGGTGTGTTGCTATCCCTGCCTTTGGTAAAGAGAGATAATGATGGCTTATTTTGTAAATAACAAAAGGAAAATGACTGCTTCCTGCTGCTTAATCAGCACAGGCAATGTCAGGCAGAGATCCTGCTTTTCTCCTTTCCCAAGAATAACCCCTCTTAAATCAGATGTTGCTTAGATTTAGTCCTACTTGAAACTGGGAAGAATTCCTGTTCTGTAAGAAGTTTATGTTCTTTAACCTCTGTGAATGTTTACTATTAATGAAGAGAATCTACATATTTTCTGTGTGTTTTGTTTTTATGTCCTAGGAGAAGACTGATGTGGAAGGAACCTTATTTGTTTACACAAGGTAAGAGCACTTTAGTTTCAGAAAAAAACTGATAGTCATTCTTTAATTGTAGTTTTATTTTTAAGACAAGTAAACGAAATGAATCTTAGTGAAGTTTTGAGTTGACATAAGGGAATACTGAATAATGTCACCTGGGATAGTGTGAGGCATACTAATTTCAGAATATAATTTAAACTTCAGTATAGGTGAACTTAAATCTTTGTGTGTTTTTTAAAGTAGTATTAAATGTTTGTTCTTTAATTCAAACAAAGTTCTTGAATATAATGCATTGGCAAGGAGCTAGAAGTACACTATTAAGAGTATTAGATTATTTAATCAATATTTAGAAAGGGGTCCAGATATTTTTTAATTTTTTAATTACAGTTTACATTCATATTATTTTGTATTAGTTTCAGCTGGTTAGATAATCATATACTTTACAAAGTGTTCCCCTGAATATTTCTAGTACCCAATGGGCACCATACATAATTATTACAGTATTATTGATTATATTCCCTATGTTGTACTTTATACCCCCATGACTATTTTGTACCTTTCAATTTATACTTCTTAATTCCTTCACCTTTTTCACTCAGTCCCCCAACCCCCCCTCCCCTCTGGCAACCATCTGTTCTCTGAATCTATGAATCTACTTCTGTTTTGTTTGTTTATTTATATTGTTCCTTATATTCCACATATAAGTGAAATCATATGGCATTTATCTAAATATTCCATACCCAGTAGCATTTTATTGATGTCTCCCCCAGCACCCTTGACTATTTAAAGAAGCGTGATCCAAAATTAAAGATGCCTGAGTCCCCCATTATTTAGTTAGTAGAATATGTTTCAGGATAGATTTAATACATTCTTTATTTTGATTATGAATACATTTAATAATAAGCTCATGTTATTAGTAATTTATATCAGATATTGTTACTGTCACACGCACACAGAGACATATAGTATGTATATTATTTTAATAGATGAACTGTTTATTCATATAAAGTATCATAGCTAAAGTCCATCGCCATCAGTGGGGGTTCAAAGATAAATACAAAGGCCTAGTACAGACCCTAGGGGAGACAGAAAATACACACACACACACATATTTTTTACACATGCACTCACATTTAAAGATAAACTGCAATGCAGATAGACTACCCTGAGTGCCAGTTGATAGGTTACAAGCATTGAATGGGCTGCTGAGGTTGTGGAAGGTTCTATAGAGTGGTGAGTCCTGAGTCAGCCTCAGGAATAAAGGTAGAACTTAACTTGCATAGAGGAGAGAGAGATGGGTAGTCTCAACAGCAGGAATGGCATAAGCAGAGGCATGGAACCTATAGTGATAAAGGGACAGTAAGGAAATGACTCTGGGGCAGAGAGTTTACATTGGCTTATATTAGAAGTTAGAAGTTGACAGTGAGGGTAAAGCAATTTTGCTGGCTTGGAATGTTGGACTAAGGATTTTGAAATTTATTTTCTTAGAAGTATGGAGTTACTGAAGGTTTATGAACAGAGGAGTAGTAGAATTACAACAAAATGTGTGGGAAAAGTTAGTGTGTCAGCATCATGAGGATGCATTGGTTCTAGAAGAAATTGAAGTAGGGAAGGGCACTGAGAAGGTGCTTGCTGTGGATATGAGATGATGAGAGTGGGGACCAGAGTTTTGGAAGTTGAAATAGAAATATTTATTGAAATAATGCATGTATAGAGGGAATGGTGACTTTTTAAAAATAACATTAAGATTTTGAAATGGAAAACAGAATTACAATTATTGATGGAATGGAAAAATAGGTCAAGAATCTGGCTTGAGGATAAATGTTAGTTTTATTTTGAAATAATGATTTTGGGGTGGTAGCAGGGCATTCTGGTGGAGATGTCCAACCACTCAGGATCGGGTCAGGGCTGGAGATACAGAATTTGGAGTCATCTGCAGTAATTTGGTCATTGAGACCATGAGAGAAAATCTGTTCTTTGAAGGAGAAAGAGGAAACTGAGGAAGGCTAATGCTTGGTTTTAGAGCCAGCAAGGATCCAGAGGAGGGCCAGCCATAAAAATAAAAGCAGACCTAGAGCAGTACAAAGAGGCCAGTGGTGGGCGTGGCCAGGATCAGTGGGAGTCTGTGTGTAGGTGGAAGCAGCAGTGGGAGTGGGGAGAAAGGACTGGATGGGCAAGGCCATCAGAGCAGGTGAGAAGGAGGTCGGTTTATTCAGTTTCAGCAAAGTGATGGGAGTGTCCAGGAGATGTAGGCTGTATTAGTTTACATTGTGTTCCAAAACATTCCAAAAGCATCGGAGCACACCACCAAGTGAGCTTGTTCAGGAGACACTACTCTGGAGAATTCTGAAGAATGAAAAGAAAAGCAACCGATTGAACTCGACTGTGTGCAAGCACATGATATGCATTCTCATTCATGTCTCACAAGAATTATTCTTTTGAGAAGTAAAAGAAAACATAGTAATATGCATTAATGATTTATTTTAGGGATTTTTAGTAGAGTTATTTTTTTTTTTTAGTATACCCAAATCAAATGTAGGTTTGTATTTTCAAGTACTTCGTAATTTACTTTGAGTTCTTAGTGGATCTGTCAGTTAAACAAACCATTAAATTGAGAAACAAATCCTTCCCTATTTCTTAATCTCTTCCTCAATGTAACTCAACAACAGAAGCCCCTCCTCCCCCCTCCCATCTTCCCCCAAACCCCTCCTCCTTCAGTGCCAGATTCTAGTATGTTGAGGTCTTTCCTCTGTAGAGAGTGATAGAAAGCTCACAAAAATCAAAAAGGAGTTTGGGGTACAGGAAGTGGAGCTGCCAGTGATATCTTTGCTCTGTGCCTGCACTAGTAGAGAAGTTAATGAAATACTTGAAGAGTCAAACCTGATTAAGTGTAAAAAGACCTAATCCTATTTTTAAAATTATTTTTTCGCTTATTTTCTCCCATGTCTTCCTTTCTGTAATAGAGTTCACAGAGAACCCACTGGTGGTTTATGAACTTGACACTTCTAAAGGCCTCTGTCAGAGATCTTTGGAAGTCAGTTTTCATTCCTCAGAATTTAAGTTGAAATGATTACATGATTATATCTAGTTTTGATTATATGCCTACTACCACTTTACCTCACTGTGAAATGAATTACACAAGGATTGCCTTCCATCAGTTTTAAAATTGGAGGGCTCAAAAGGAAATTCTGTAAGTGGTAATGTAGCTGTATTTTACTTCTTTATCAGCATCACAGATAGCAAGTTTATATCAAACCAAGATACAAACACCTTGTCTTCCTATTGCTCACAACACTTCTGTGGGTTTGTTACCCTGGTGCCCTGGTTTAAAGTAAATAAATGAATTCTGCTTCTTTCACTTTCAGTATGTAAGTATGTGGGTTTTCATTTGTCACAGAAGCCGCGTAGCTGAATTGCTATATGGCTGTCACCCAAGGGTAGACAAATGCAAATGTAGTTATTAGAGTTTCTATTCTGTATAATTTGTTCTTTCTGCCTGACAGAGAGTAGGCATTGAAGGTTTGGTGAATAAAATGAAAAGTAAAAAAAAGTCACTAAATACTATATTTTTATGGAGAAAGCTTTATAGTAGTGTATCTATGAAGCTGTTTGCTCTAAACAAAAGATCTGCTTTTAACTATACTGTATTTTCTCACCAGTTGATTGACCAGAGTTGCATGATTTATTTTAAAAGTTTCACAACTTTTAATTTCAGACCAACACCAAGATTTTCTGTTAAAATTTTCTTTATGTAATTGTGATGTACACTCTGTATTAACTCTCATGTAGTTTTTAAAATAGTAATTACCATCTCCTCCTTAAAGGAATTTATAATATAGGTAGGGAAACAAGATACACACACATACACACACACACACACACACACACAGTATGTAAGTAGGATTTGATTTTACCAAAGGGTCGGTAATGACAGTCATCCTGCAAGTGTTACATAAATTAATACATTAGTGCTATTAGCTACTAGTAAAGAATCATTGCTTTATTTGTGTACAGTCTGCTTGCACAGAGCTTTATATACATACAAAAAGGTTGAAGACACATTCAAATGTAGTTATAGTAAAATTGTACTATACTGAACAACTTGTCTTTTGATGTCCTCCTCATCCCTTGTGATCCTTAGGTCTGCTTCTCCAAAGCATGGGTTCACCATTATGAATAGGCTGAGCATGGAAAATAGGACGGAACCCATTACTAAAGACCTGGATTTCCAGCTCCAGGACCCTTTCCTTCTCTACAGAAATGCCAGATGTGAGTCTTTCTAAATGAATTGAGTGGTTTTATTTCAGCAGCTTGTCCAAGTGTTTAAAATTGTACGGTGTATGTCTTTGTGTTTGTGCTTAGTATCAGTGATTCTAGGGGTCAGCATTGGTTAGCTTGGGAAATGCATACCTAACTGAGGGAATAGGTCTTTCCTGGGGAAAGTTTACATGAAAACTATGTGAATATGATGATGTAAGTATTCAAACCCTGTCTTCTGCAGTGAGACCACTTTGTAGTGTGAACCCATTGGAGAGTCTAACTAAGTCTGATCAGGACTGGGTAAGGAGTTTTTGGTCAGGAGACTGCAGAGGGTCACATAGGTGGTGCTGTAGGACATAGAATTAGTGATTCAGCTGGTGGCACTTTCATCGAGTGTGAGCCTTCTGATAATATGTTTGGGGGAGAGGACCAATATTCTAGAATTGCCATCTTTCAAATATATAGTAAATGAACAATCAAAGTCCAAAGAGTTTTGGCCGTTAAAATTTTGTAACACTTTGTAATGTTGAAGTTATGTTAGGTAACTAAATTGTCCTTGTCAGGTTCAAAATGAGGTAGCAATTGCCTATCCAATATTCTGTTTTACTCTTGTAGCTTATCTGACCATTTGTGTTGGACCATTGGAAAGACCAGAGAAAAATTGATGGAAAATATATAAACTGCAAGAGCATCAACGTGTGTTTGTGTACACACATGCCCTGTGCTTTTTCGATAAGTTTCAGAAAGATCTTGCAGTTAAATGTTTTCCATTCATTTTCCACCCTGCTCTTTGAACTCAAGATACCAGATTTGCCTACTATATACTGTTCAGTGTAATCTTAATAATGAATGTAATACAAGTGATATTTAATGTTTGCACTCCAATGACTTGTTTTGAAGTAAATATAACATTCCTTTTAATGCTATATTTACTTATAATTACATACATATAATTAAGTTATATGATAGGTGGGCATCCTAATATTTAGAGAATATGGTTACATTTTTATGGGGGAAAAAAGGAAGCTATTAAAACTGTAACATGGCTTACTAATGATAGGTCCTGTGAGTGAAAAATGTAGTAGTACAGAGAAATATTTTGTTTTCTATTCCTATTTCTTTCCCAGAAGGTATAGTTTCATCAATTGTAGCTTGTAGTTTGAGTTGTTTGTATGCTTATAATAATGTCAGGTTTTATTTTCTTTTTTGAGATTATAAGATTCTATGTCAAATTAATATATAATTTCAATCCTAATAAACAAAACAGCCACATAAATAAATATAAAATAAGTGAATATTAGTCACTTATAGTAATTATTTTTGGTAGCTCTTACTTTTCATACTTAGTCTACTTAGTACAGATAATATTTTAAGTTCTTTATACCAAAAATATAAAAATTACAAACTCTCTTTAATGTGGTTGATTTAAAAATTAACTTTCATACGTCCCATGGGACTTATCTGATAGGTAATACTATTTGGATCTAATAAACATATATTAAGCCTCACCTTGGTTCCAGGCCAATGCTGTCTAATATGGTAGTCTAGCTGCATGTGGCTGTTGAGCACTTGAAACATGGCTTAGTCTGAATAGAGCTGTGCTATGAGTGTACAATACACAACTGATTTTCAAAGACAATACAAAAAAATGTAAAAAATCTCAATTTCATATTGATTTACCTGTTGAAATAATATTTTAAGTATATTAAGGTAAATAAAATATATTGTTGAAATTAATTTCACGTGCTTTTTATTTTTTTATTTAAAATTACATATGTGGCTCACATTTGTGGTTCACCTTATATTTCCATTGAACGGCGATGTCCTAATCACTTTCATTTATTTTACCGTATTTTATAATCACAACTTTGTAGCGTAGACATTTTCTCTGCCATTTTGCAGATGAGCAGACTGAGGCCCAGTGAGGTGACAGACCTGACAGATACCCATAGTTTCTGATTTCTCATAACTTTTTCTTGAAAATACTAATATTTTTGTTTTATAAATGAAGAAACTGAGGTTAAAGGCATTAAGTAATTACCATGGCCCATGACTATTTGGAGATGGGAACAGCATTTGAACTGAGAAAGCCCAACTGCAAAAGACAGGCCCAAGTAGTGAAAAGTACTAACAAATGAATGATGTGTTTGAGCAAGGTTTACTTCTTAAGACTTACTTAATCTTTTTAGTGTGTGCTCCATTGTTTAAAAAGCAAGTTTCTTTTTTAAAAAGTTGAGAATGTATTATATCGCAATTATTAGAGAGGAGAATATCAAATAAAAACTAATGTAACAAAAAGCTGAATTTGACTATTTCTCTCATATTATTCCCCTTTAGTAACCTTTTGCTGTGTTTTCCATTTCACAACTAAGTAAGATTTTTGTATATGGAGATATATTTTAGAAACGTATTTTCCCAAATATTTAATAATATATAAGATAAGTTATGCCCAGCCGGGAGTGGTTCAGTGGTTGAGCGTTGACCTAGGATCCAGGAGATCGGGGTTTGATTCCAGGTCAGGGCACATGCTCGGGTTGCGGGCAGCAGCCGATCAATGACTCTCTCATCATTGATGTTTCTCTCTCTCTTTCTCCCTCTCCCTCTCTCTCTGAAATCAATAAAGATGTATTTAAAAAACAAAACAAAACAAAAGATAAGTTCCCGACAGCAATGACAGGTAGATTTCAGAGCCAGGCCAACGGGTTGAATATATCATTGTCTATGCTTACAAGATTAGAATGAAATTCTTTTGAGCTGCTTGATTTCATCAAAGACATAAGCCTGGAGCTTAGAGCAAATTATAAAAGGCAAAATCAAGATATTTAGGATCAAAGCTGTTTTACAAAACTCCTCCTCAGTTTTAGTGAATTTACTATATTGGGTAGTTTTGTATTAAAAAAGAAATACAATTTAAATTCTTTTTTAATATTTGTAGGACCTGGGAAAAACTGCTATAAATAATGGGAAATGGTAAACTAAATGAAAATGATAGGTACAGACAGTTCTTATCTTTCAAACTGGCCATATCCTAGAAATTCCCTTTTAAAATGATTGGTGGTATTTTAGTTATACATGGCAGACTGAACACATTCTTGGAACTATAGAAATGATAGTAAAGGGGGAAAAAGATATAAACCCACAAGAGTGGTGGATGCATTTCATGAAAAAGATGGAGTTAACAAGAAAGAAAGAGGAAGACTTGCTATGATAGCTTTATTGTTTATAATTATTAACTTTGCCTCCTTGCAGAAGATTATATCTCTGTTCTTTTGATGTCAGACTTGACTATATGATTTGGTTCCCCAACCCCGCACTGACCCCTCTAAAAGAATATTATGTGGTCACCTATTGAACTCAAATATGAATGAATTGCTTTGGCCAATGAAATGTGGTTAAGAGTAATATATGTCACTTATGAGCAGATACTTTAAGAACTAGCTCATGATTCATCATGTCTTTTTTCCTTCTGCTGTGATGACTAACAGTATTCTAAGCAGAGGCTGCTCTGTCAACCTGGGTCCTGAAATGAAAATAACATGGCACAGAGGTAAAGGCAACCCATGATGAACATGTAATGTGTATAAGAAATAAACTTTTGTCATTGTAAGCCATTGAGATTGTGGGATTGTTTGTTACTGTAGCATAATTTGGGCTATTGTGACTGATACACAAGCCATCTAAGAAGAAAGGAATCCAAACACAGGATGGAGGTAAAGGAATTCTGAGAACAGTGATAAAGAGGAGTCCCATAATGACTCCTATGCAATTAAATTAAAGCTAATTCAGTCTAAATTAAGGATAAAAGTCTTCAGGAAGGGTGTCCAAGGAAAAAATTACAACTGACAGTTTGAATCTGTTGAGATAGTTACAGTTCCTTTTTAAGAAAGTTTGATGATGATATAGGAACATTGAAAACTGAGATGGGGGGAAAGAACAATAACAAAATGAAGCAGTTCCTAATTCCTGGGAAAACAAAATATTGTATAAGAAAGGAAATATACTCATAGTGTATTATATGGCTTTGCAGATCATAATACTTAATTAAATTATAAACACTGAATAAGAAATTGTATTATACTGAGACTGCAAGGGTGGGGGAAAGTTTGTGTGTTTGCGGGAGTGTGTATATATGGTCAGAGAACTAAATCCTCCTCGATGGGCTTTAAAAATCAAGAAGTAGTGTATTCGTTCTATATCAAAAAAGATTTAAATACCAGAAAAAAAGTTGGATGACAAATAAATATAGAGAGCAGAAATAACTGTCATGGATGTAACTCAGGTTGTTTTGGAGGAGCAGTAATTAGGAATGTAATGGCTAGAGAAGAGTTCTCTGTTTTTATACACTTTATAGTATTTGGCTTTTAAAATTATGTACATGTATAATTTTAAAAAGATAAATATAAAAATATAATTGGATATCAGTACATTCATAAAAGTAATGGTCTAATTGGTGGTTAGGTTTTTAAGTCAATTCATAAGAGCCTTTTTAGCCCACTATACACCTACCTAAAAATAGCACACTAACATAATGATGTACCTATGAAATATAGCACTAGCATGTATAGCATTATTCCTATAGGAAAATTCATTCAAGAGTAAAACTTGTGTAGACCCCAAGAGTATAATATCCTTAGTAGCAGGGCAGGGGGCTTCTAGTGCCCATTTATAATAACAGATCATTTATAAAGCTAGGTATTCCTGTAAATTATATGTTAGCACATGGTAATAGTAAAGTAAACTTTGAAGCCTTCACAGCCTATTGCTAAGTCTCAGTTCTGTATTGGTTCTGCAGTTCTGTATTGCTAAGCCCTGCAATTCTGTATTGCTCTCTCCTCTTTATTCCCACATCCATTCCAGTTCAGGATTTCATTACCTGTTACTTGGAGTATTTCATAATTCTTCATAACAAAAAGATGTTAAGCTTCCAGCCCAGCCAAAATAGAGTAAGTTCACTACAACGTATGTGTCCCACTGGTTACAACTAAATGTTCTGGGCAGCCCTACCTGGT